TACTTAAACTTAAAACTTTAACTTAACTTAATTAGTAATAATAACTAAATTAAATTAATTACTTTACGTTACGTACGACACTACTACTACTAACTACTATATATATATATATATATATATATATATATATATAAGTAATGATCCTATAGGATCCTCCCCTATGTGTATAGGACCTCAAAAGATAACCATTAAATTTGGCACGGATCCTTAAAAAAATTATCACATGGGTGTAATACTTGACTTTTTTAAAAATCCATATCGAATTTAATGGTGATCATTTAGAGTCTTACACACATAGGTGGGAGAGGATCTTATAAGATCATTCTATTATATATATAAGTTCTAATTTTGGGTCAAATTCAATATGAAGGCAAGTCGAGTATCACTCTTGTACCTATGTGATAATTTTTTTAGATATCCGTGGCAATTTTAATGGTGATCTTTTGAGGTCCTACATACATGGGTGGGGGATGGTTCTATAGGATCATTACTATATATATATGAAAATATATAAATTTTAATTTTTGGGTCAAATTATAGACGAAGGCAAGTTGAGTATCACTTCTTAAATTTCCCCATATTATTTTTTATGAAATTTTTTAATTTGGAACAAATTTTGTTGATACTAAAACTCTTTTTCTATTATTTTTTAGGATTTCCAAATGCTTAGGGAAGGTGTTTGGTGGTCACCAAGAAAGCCTGAAAAAATTAGTCAAAGGATCATCTCATTAGGGATTAAATAGTCATGTCACCGACTAGGCCTCTGGCCTATTTTGTCCAGTTTTAAGGTCAAAAGTCGGGTTTTTAAGTGTAGTAGTAGAATAAGTGTGTTGCATGTCTAAACGTAATGAGAGATGTTGGAAAGATATCGAATTGATCATCTTGACGTCGAAATGTATAAGCATGGAAAAATAAAAAAAGATTTTAAATATTAAAAATAGTACATTTTGCAACACATTATTTAGACCGTCTATTTTCAAGATTTTCATGTGTTTATAGATCTATTTGATTTGAACCATTTCTGAAGTTTAAAATTTTTAATTAAGAATTTTCGACACCAAAATTACATCTCGTGACAAAATTTAGAGATACACGTTACTTTGATTATTTAAAGTTGCAACCTTATATAAACCATATTTGGAAAACTCTAA